GCTTGGAATGAAAGTTGACTTATAACTGGTTTCCATCTGGCGCCTGGCTCGCAGAAGTTTTGCCCCAACACAGACTGCTAGTGCGAGTACTGCGCGTGTGCAACACCGATCCCGATGCCGACTCTGACTCCGACGAGTCCGAGTCCGAGTCCGAGCCGACTCGGCACCGTCACCATAAGGTTGATTGGTTGGTCGGTCGGTCGGTTGCCTGGTTGATCGCTTCGGTGGTCGGGTTTTCAGCCTCTCGCTCGGTTTTGCAGCCCGCTGGTCGTTGCTGGGCTACGTTTGTCATTGTGTGGCATTGTTGCCGACGCGAAACACAAGCTGCGCAATCGTAAAGCTTTGCACAATGGCGGCGAGGGGGGATCCATGGGTTCGGCCAGGCTACATCCCAGACTCCGCGACAAGGTTAAAACGTTTTTGCCACTGCCCTTTACTTCCCTTTACAATGGAATTAAATTTTTATTTAAATTTGATTTATTTAGTTATTAAACTCAACGGTTATGTGCATTTGTAACAATATTTGCGCTAAGAAGTTTTTATTTATTTTCATTTAGGCAACTACATTCAATTTATTAACAAAAACAACAAACATTTTCTATCTAAACAATTATTTTTATAACCACTAAAAAAAAAAAACATTTCTTTGGCATTGAACTGTGACATCCCTTGGCCAGAATTCAACTAATTAACTGTGCAATTTTTTAAAATGATTTTTTTACTCTTTTATCTACCATTAAAAATATAGATATTTGTGTTTTTTATTTATTTATGTATAAACTTTACGCATGTTGAAACATTCATGTTCGTTATCACTTCAATGATTTGTGAGTATATGTTTCTCTTAAGACTACTTTTAGTTTAATTAGTAACAAGAGCAAAAAAAAAACACACGCTTCCATTTGTCTTCCTGTTTTGTAGGTTAAATTTGAGCATTTATAATTGTTGAGTTTCGGGCAACACATTTTTTGTTTTTATGACCATCTTAATTGGTGTATTCAATAAACTTATTTAACACATCCATAAATACAAGCAATAGTGTTGAATTAATCTTTGACACGATAAAAAAAACATAACAAATGCAGAGTGAGTTTCTTTGGTATAAGTTATACCGTATAACTCTTCGATGAAACCTCGCGGTGCAACTGTTGACGTAAAATAGCTTGGTTTTTGTATACATACATACATATATATTTCGCTGTTTCTTTCTTTAATTTGTTGTTGTTGGTTTTGGCTGTAATTTTGCTGGCTAGTTCGGTCACAGCAGACAACAGAGTACCCGACCCAAACCTGAGTACTACTACACAATTCAGCAATGGAAATAAGACGACAAAAAACCCGTACTAAAACTGGAGTACAGTAAGAGCTGTGTGCTCTGTGTTCTGTTTTAATTCTATTAATTGGCAGCATGGCTGGCAGCAACCTAAGCCGTCAACTGTGGCAAATAGTCTATGTACAAGTACTGCTCGCTTGAGACTTTCTGATTATGTTCCCATACTTGTCCTAATTCCAGTGACCAGTGGCGGTCCAGCGATCAGAAACGAGAGACGAGAGCGGACCAGCGGTCCAATGAACGATTGGAGTGGACTCAGAGCCCTGATACCGTAATGGTTCGCCATTCGCAACGCCGGAGATTTCGTCAATGGTCGGGGTCGTCGTCGTCGTCGTCGTCGTCGTCTGCAGCAGCATTACGAAAACCCCCATGAAGATCAGCCTCATCCCCGGTGGCTGTGGCGGGCTCAGGTGGCTCAGTCACCACCAACCGGAAGAGGGAAGCCAGATGAGCGTTTGATTATGCGACTCAAATGAAAGTTTTTCGCCATGTGGATGTGGGAAGCAGTCGGATTGGATCGCATCGTATCCGATAAGATCAGCGACCTCATGAGAACCGTGGGTGGTTTTTTTTTCCATGATGGTAATGGAATCGAATAGCTTTAGGTCTCGCTTGGTGATTCTTTCTGAATAACTACTCAGGCCTGGGCATTCATTATATTTTGCAATCAATTCATACTTACATATGTGTTTGTGCAAATGCGGGTAATCTGAAGTCGATTTGCCATTTCGCAAAAAAAAAATGCATTCGTCCGTTGCCCAGTTTTGTCGTCGTCGTCGTCTTCTTCCCATGAAACTGTTGTCAGTTATGGGTATTTGAACTAACGTTTGTAATGCTTCAGTTGGCAAATATTATTTAACATTTTTACTAATGAAATAACTGAATTAACTGCTGAACAAAAAGCAATCCAATGGTCTTGCAACTCGAGGGCCAACAGAAGAGAAGCACAGAAGCAGAAATACAAAGAAACAAAAAAACAAAATAAAATAAAATAACATGAAAAGAGCTACTAAAAAATATATGTGGCATATAAAAAACATTTTAGTTAAGCTGTCTTCGCCACTTGGGCAAGAGTCCGCTCAAAATAAACTAAAAAGCTCCAACGCCGATTTTTGGTTAGAGCTACTTTTTTTTCATGTTTTTTTTTCCCCCTTTAATAAACGAAAGATCTATAAGAATAATAAATACATTTTTGTATGATGATATATCAAGTGAGTTACATAGATATCATCGATAGATAGAAGCGTTAGTTTTAAAGACTTATATTTATGGTACATAAATACTGCTGCTTGAGCGGGTAGCTCTATGTGTTAGGTACAGGTACACTTACTTGTTCTACATATCTAGCATGTAATGTGGTGTAGATGGGCCATGGTACACTACGACTTCGTATTTGCTCTACACACTCTGTGTAGTGTAGGAACGCGGCGCAGCACTATCAAAAGAAAGAATTTTAGTTGCCTTTGTAATGTGATGAAACTACATTCAAGTGGAATCGATGAAACATTGTGTATTTAAAGCTGCATATTATATTTGTCGATGTTTTGAAACACAAACAACCGGGAGATCGATCATTTGTGGCCGAGCGGCCGGTCAACTTCCGCCTGATGTGGCGCCAACTAATCTTTCACTTTTCCTCAATCAATTAATTTTTTCTTAGCAAGATCGGTTAGCGACATTACTACGTAAAAGTGGACAAACTATTAAAACTGAAAATCTCTGGGAGGACGCTCTAGCGCGTGGACAACCAACATCACCATCCCCGCCTTCATAAAGGAGCATAATAAAATCGATTCAAATGCAAGGAAGCCCCTTGTAAGACCATGGTACGCATGACGAGACTTCGTAATCTATATGAAGAAAATATAAAAAAATAGCTGCATGGATTCGGTGCAAGCAAGGGACTGCATTGATACCTCATTGCGTAACATCCGAGGATATATGTACTGTATGTATACATGCATATAATGATGAAGTAGAACAACAAACTGAACAAATAAGCGTGGCACATCCAAAATACATATTCCGCACACAGACTAACACTCTTAATTTTCAGGACACATTACAGATGATGAAAACATAAATTTATTAAATAATATAATTTAATAATAATCCAAGGAACGACAAAAAGGAGCATTCATACATTCAAATAGTAATCCACGAAACGGAAAAAAATCAAATCAAAAAATAACAGAGGATAAATTGAAAATCAGCTGTACTATTTATCTTTTACAACAAGAAAGACCCCACCAGCACAGGTTACTCCAAGAAACCCAATTTGGTACGTGCAGAGCTCCATATGTCAAATAGTACTCGAACGTATCTTCCTGCCATCTGGCCCTCTTTCGTGGGTTTTGTCACTGTGTACCTCGTACCCGTATCAGTATGTTTATTTTGTCTTTCACAATTGCAACACAACACACACAACGTGTGCCTTTTTTTTTTGGCGTAAATGTCATTGAATTCGGTCAGATGTTTTCGTCAGTGAATTTGCACGCATATTTTTGTAAAAAAAAAACTACAAGCAAATCGAAAATCAATTTGTGCAGTCAAATTACATACATATGTATGCGTTCTTGGGAAAACGTATTTTCCCGATCGATTTTGTTTTACATTTTAAATGCCTTTTTGGATCATTTATAAGCTAGCCGTGCTCCACCTGTATAACCATTCAATTCTACAGAGACCCTCATACTTTAAGGCTAAAAGCTATTTTTCTTAGAAACTCTTTGCAAATTCAATTTGAATTCCAGAAACAATTCCTCAAAGTCGAACTACGTCTAACTGCATCCTCAACTACCAACGGCGCATGGTCGCGCAAGATCATACTTGTTTAATCAGAGCTTTTACTCTCTCTCAATGTACCTACTCTCTGTGGAAAGCTCGGATTCTGGTCCAAGAGAGATGTTATCGAGAGCATAAAGTTTACAGTGGAGATTTCGTACAGGGAAAAGTGATAATGGCCTCGGTCCCTCACTCACTCTCTACCTTGCTCACTCCCTCTCTCACAGTCGTGGGGTCGTTTTGGCAGAGAAAATAATGTGTTGGCCACGTCCACGAATGCAGAAATAACAAAAACAACAATGAAAACTATGCGCAGCACCTACTCACCGTCTCTCAGCCTCTCTGCTGCTGCGAAATGGAGAGAGCGGGAGGGAGCTGTGTCTGTGAGCGGAGTCTGAGCGTGCTTGTGCATGCATGTGTGTGTGAGTGTACAGGTAAGCAAATTCAAGGTGTACTCAGATAAGGTGAGGCAGATGGGCATGTCTCTCCTGGAGAAGGCGGTTAAACTTGGCCTCTTTTGATAAAATACCAGGAATGCCTCACTGTATTAATAAATAAAAAAAAACTCATATTTATAAGATAACTCGATAGCTCCATTTTTCAACGCTAACTCTATCCCAATTCTATCTCAAAAGTGAATTGCAAAAATTAATACAGCCAGTGAAACAAACACTCGAAATTGATCTAATCAATTCTAAAATTGCAATTCAATTGAAGGAAGAGGAAAAAACATGTTAAAGTTGCCCACACCTGTATGAGAATACACCCTGAATAAACGTTTTTTAAATGGGCGGAGTGAGGGGGTTTCGTCTCGCTCTTTCTTTAAGCGCTCGATCGGACCGAGACGGCGTGGTAGTGAGAATTATTTTTAGTCTATTTTCAACATTTGCTGCGTACAGTTGCAACCGATCATTCAGCCGATTCACAAGTATTTTTGTTTTGTTTGTGTTCTCTTTCGGCTTCTGCTCGTTTTGGGCCTCTACTTTCTGGCCTAAAAGAAAACGCGCACTGAGATAGTTCGGCATTCGTTTGTTGTCAATCGGGTACGAATTGCTCTTTTAAAGTTTTGAATTTTTGTTGTTGTTTTTGCATTACATTGTAGCATGTACATATTTATGTGTGTATTGGTGGTTATGCGGTGATTGCTCTGAGAGTAGAACCTTTAAGTTTACAGGATTCCCCAGAGTAACACTTCAATTGCTATTTCTGTTTTTGTTTGTGATTAAAAGTATATTTATAAAAAGTGTTTACTTTTCGTGTTGTAATCAATCGTCTCCCAGTCGTATTTTGTTTAGTAAATAAAGTAATCAAGTGGACCACAATAATAATAAACAATAGTTATAATTACAAAGAAATTCTACACTGGAATTCTTCTTTAAACAGTATACAAATTTGCATATAAACTTCTCTAAAAACCAGCAACGACCTTTAAATAGATCAAAAAGCAAAGTTTGGCAATCACAGACATTTTGATTGTAAAAATACGAATGGGATGGGTTAGGGTAGGGGTAATAATCGTATATCAGTCGCTGGTCGAGAAACGGAAGCATGTTCAGCGGCCCAGAACCGACTCTATAATTTTGAAATTCTTTCAGCTTGACAAACATCACAAGTCCCACAGTCCCACCAGAGTCCCCCCGACAGTAGGCCCGTTCTCTGGAATTTGTGAATAGTAATTGTCTTGTCTCTCTCTCTCTCTCTCTTGGACGTTTGCTTTTTGTATTCGCTTAGATGCATGACCGTGTTGTGGCTAACACGTATAGGTATGGGTGCATGTGCATCTGTGTGTTTGCGTGTGTGTGTGTGTGTGTGAGGCATCAACAAGTTTAGAAACGGGCTTTGGGCCCTGTCGAGGCCTCTGTAAGCGGCGGCAGGGGAAAAAGTTCACAGTTGAGGCGATTTCATGGACTAGGGCTTGGAATAACAATTAACCATGGACTCACTCTCTCTCTCTATCTCTCTCTTTCTCTCTCTCTATATATATATATATATATATATCTCTCTGATCGCTGCAGGGAATGCAGCCAAGATATGGCTGGCCTAGTACATAGTACACCTTACACTGCCACTGGCTGCGGAGTCGTCCCGAATCGCTTGAAGCATTCGCGCTGCAGATAAAAACGAAGAATATGAACGCCTAGAAGGAAGAGTCTATAGCCCCGTCCATCCAACCAGCTTAAGCTTAATTCTAGCAATGCAATCGCAACAAGTCCGTCCAATAAGCACCTATGACAATCTGGGTGCCGCTGCCCATGTGGCACCAAGCAACAAGCAGCACCAGCAGCAGCTCCACAGAGCTGGAGAAAGTCCCAAGCAGCCGGAGAGAGCCACCACCAGAGGTGTGAGTGAACAGCTGCTGTCCAACGGCATGTCGCAGCCGCAGACGGAGCTGGAGCCCGAGGAGGAGCTGAATGGCAGCGGTACCAGCCACAGCATAGCCGCCGTTAAGGCGGCCCTCAACGATGCCAAATCGAAATTCTTTGGCATCAACAACTACGATGAATATGAGTCAGCCGTCCAGCCAACACAGATGCCAATGCCAGTAGTCAAAGCCCATTCACAACAGCCGACCATTAAGCCGGAACCAAAGTATCAGAACGTCCCACAGCGCCCGAAGCCACAACCCAATGAGCTTCCGGCTACAATCATCGAGCCAGTGGCAATGCCACCAGTGTCAGTCAGCAGTCCGGTGGACAGATCCCTGCGTTATGCCACAACCTATGAACAAATACCCCTGAGTGACTTGGATGCCCCGCAGCCGTCGCAGGTGAGTGTTAGTATCCCCTTTTGCCATCTCTCTCATAGATCGCTGATGTCTCTAATATATTTGCTCTCTGGTGTCTCTTTACAGGCTGTCTACATGAGCACTACGGTGCCGCAGAATATAAAAGGCATGAAGATCGCTGGACGACATACGCCGACCCGAAATAGTCTGAGACACAGCCGCATGATAGTTGTGAATCACAAGAACCATGACAGTATGTACCCGATCACCATCTCTGGCTTTAAATACTTTTATTTGACAATGTGTGGGCGTGCTGTTGTTTTTCTTTTTTTTATGTATCTGCAGGTCTACAGGCGGCATATTCCAAGCACATTCGAAATCTGAATATTTCTCGGCAGCTTTTGATAATGCAATTAGCTGTGGGATTGCTGATAGTCGGACTGGCCATTTGGATACTGCTGCTGGAGCCAAACGCTTCCATTCTGATCAATCCGTATCTGAGTGGCCTATCTGTAAGTCTTCCAAATCCACTGATCACTTTAGGCTTCTCCATTAAGCTGGTGTTGCCCATTTTCCTATTCGATTAGCTGTTGCTGGCCAGTATTGCGGGCCTGATACTACTGAGACGGGATCACCGGACACAGGGGCATAGGGCGCCCAATAGCTGCTACAAAGTTCTGCTGGCCGAATCCTACGTGTTCTCCGCCTTGGCTTTGGTCTTTTGCTGCCTGGCGCTGGTCTGTGCGGCCATTGAGTTTGCTGAGCTGGCATCAGCTGTGGACGGTGCCTGCGGACCGGCCACCAGTTCTCTTTTAAGCTATCACAATTGCACCTGCCTGACGTCTGGCGATGATGTGGTCGCTGATGGCAGCAGTTCCCCGAACGAGTAAGTACACTCCGATCTCTACGGAAATGGCGATTTGTATGGGAATCCACCTTTGCAGCAACAGCAGCAGCAGCTTCGAGGAATGCAGTGCATTTCGCGGTGAATGGAAGTATCTGCTGGCCTTCTCCATGGCTCTCAATGCCCTGGGCATTGTTGCAACATTCTTATACATAACGCTATTTATTTGTTGCCACCGCAACAGGAAGCACTTTTACACGTCTGTCTAAAGGAGGGCCAGGTTCCTCCAGTCCATTACTTGCATTACTTGAATTCTTGCTTTTAAATTAAAAATAAATTATTTACAAACAAAGCAAAAGAGCAAATCGTCACGTGCAACGGAGAAGGTACAGATGTAGGAGAAAGTCATTTCCATACGCGTGGATTACGAATAATGCACTGCCTGCGTGTTTGGTTTTTGAGGCCACTTCCCGCTTTCACTTTCGTTATAGAACTTTCAATATCGAACTTCCCCTATGCTTGAGGGCATAGAACGTGTCGTGAATTTTGTAAAAGTAAATTAATGAATGTAATATAATGAGCGACCTGAGACCCACATAAGGATTCTGCAATAGCGAATGCCAGAAGATTGCAAGAACGAGATGCATTTCGTGTGCATGACATGGGTAGAATATTTGTAGGCAAACTTTTGAAGCTCATCCACAAACGTTACATCATAGGCAACATACTTCTTGACCTATGAATTTTTTGTTACAACATTTAGAACACCTTTTCGCTTCATATTCGCGTGAAGTTAATTGTATGGCTTTCATTTTTGCTCAATTATCTGGTCATGCAATGTATTTTGAAGCCAGGCATTTCGATTGAAATTACTATAATAATACTTTTGCTGTGGCATTGGAAGATTATAGTACACGACCTAATTGCCATGTGGTGTGTGGCATGCGGACAGATAATCGTAGAATATGATTGATTGTCAATGGTGTTTTGTGGGATTTATAAACATAATAATTTCAGTGGTCAGTGCTCACAATTTGTCACAGATAGAACAGAGAGAACACTCCAATAGATGGATCCAATAGATCATGTAAAATGTCATTCTAAATAAAAAGAAGATAAGAAAAGGACACTACATACCCTCAACTTAGAATCCAGTGACTCCACCGGGTTTGCGAAAGTCCGAGTTTACCATAATGGTGCCATTCTTTTGGGTTATGCCGCATATCACAGAGCCACGATTCAGATAGCGTTCACAAACATGTCCCCTTGATTCCAGGCTCTTTACATAGCCATCCAGCAGCCCGTACTCGTACAACAGGACATTGGGCAGCATCTGGTGGTGGATGCGACTGGCATCAATGGCATATTTAATGCTCGTCTGCTGCCATAGTATCCGCACAAGAAGCGGAACTAGAGATGAAATGATTTTCGTGCCACCGGCGGCACCCACAACCAGTCGCACCTTCCCCGTCGACCGCTCCGTGACAATGAGCGGGCTCATGGAGGACATGGGCCGGGTGGAGGGTGTCACCCTGTTCTTGCCAGGGACAAAGGGTAGCTCAAAGTAGTTCCGCAGCTGCTTGATGGAGAAGTCGGACATTTCATTGTTGAAAAGCACACCAGTACGCTGTCCTGTGCGTCCGCTGCCGAAGCTGAATCGATGGACATGCATTATTTAGGAGTACGCCAAAAGCCACGTAGACTTACTAGAAATTGATGGTGCTGGTAACCGAAACGGCATCGTTGTCATGCAGCACCGATGTGTGGGCCGTACCGTGCTCCTCTCGCACACGTATCTCCGCCGGCGCCCCGTACGACCGGGGGCTGTTGAACGTCATCGAATCATCGATTTCTTCCGCCATGTTGGCGGACACCTTGGAGCTGGTCATGCTTTGCAGTAGCTGCAACAGAGAGGAATGGAATGAATGGATTCGAAAGAGACAGCTAGTGGGCGAGAGACTCACCTGCTCATCGGCCTCCTCGTCTAGTTGCCATCGCTTGACAAAGCCAAATTTCATGGCCTCAATCATTCGATGCACCTCCAGGGGCCCCATTTCGTTGGTGCGTGCAAAATCCCTGCGAAAATTTCGCAATATGCTCATTATAAGACCCAGGACGTGTCCACTGCCTGGCAAGGGAGTCAAATGCAAATCGTACTCGTCCAGAGGCATCACCAGCGACTCGGTTATTTTAGCATCGGCGCGATTCAGGTCCTCCTTGCTTATAACACTGCCCATGTCCTTCAAGTCGGCCAGTAGATCCTCGGACAGTGATCCGTTGTAGAAGCTGTAGGGCCCCTCCGCGGCTAGGCGCTCATAGGTGCGGCACAATTGGGCAGGAGGCTGAATGAAATGGCCAATGGGCCAAAAGTCATCAGTTTTGGAATCGATGAACATTTGCCGCAGCAGACGATCTCCTTTGATCATTTCTCGGTTGAGGGCAAGGGCATCATATTGATGCTTGTACAGGCGATATCCGCTGTGGCACAGTCCCAGCGTTGGCTGCACCAGCTCCGACCAGGGCAGCCTGCCGAATCGCTGATGGGCCAGGGCATAGCCAGCCAGCTCGGTGGGCACCGCAATCGACCAGCTGGACTGCTTGAACTCCTGTTCATTCCGGAAGATGGAGAAGTTCTCGGCACGTAGGGACATTGGAGATATTTCGCGGGCACAAATGCTGTAGGATTTTCGCTCTTCGTGTATATAAATTTTCATCAACATGCCACCGCCAAGGCCCATGCTTTGCATGCCGATGAGACCATTGCAGAGCAGAGCAGAGAGTGCGGCATCCACAACGCTACCGCCATCTTCCAGGGCCTTTCTGGCCATGAGGCCGCAGACATCGTTGTCGGTGCAGATGCCAGCCCGCGGGAACTCGTGCAGCGGTGAATGGGAGGGCGGCAGAGGATACTCTGGATTCTGTGGCTTTCTGTTTACTTTTTGTGGAGCTGCGTGGGCGAAAGTATAAGCGAGAATTGTCACATATTGAATGCAAGTAGTGTCACTGGACAACTCACCATCCTTCTCCAGAAGCCTGTACAGATATATTGCAATCAGGATACCTACTATCAGAGATATGAAGCTGCCGACTGATATGCTTATATACATTTCCAATTATTCGGTTTTAGTTCCTTGTAATATTATCCCGCATCCTTTTCCAAGTGACCGCGAACTTATCGATCAAATATTCGGCCTGACCCTAAGAGATATACCGATGCACCGTAAGTAAACATTGAACTCAATTTACGACCTCAAAATATCCCAAGGAGTATATAATATACCGAACACGGCCAGGGTGTAATATGATATTATCCTTGCAATTCAAAACCAGGTGTCTGGGCACAAGGAGGTTTGTCCATCTTCGCCATCAAGCGCATGGTGTGTAACCTAGAGAGGGTGTCATATCTGATTGGTATCGATATTTTAGGTTCGATGTTAGGTTCGATCTGCCCTCATGAACCAAAATGTGAAACAAAATCAGATAAAAAAATCCAAGAACGAAGACTTAAATAAGCAGACTAAATACATATCCGCTCTCCACTGGGAGTAATAACCTCGTTTTTTCTCAATTAATTTGAATTCAACTTCGATGTTTTTTGAGTCAGCTGTTTCAAACGGGCTGCAATGCAAACATCGATAGTAGCAACCCGATAGTACAATCGTTGCTGAGGCAACAAGTAGTTGGCTGATAAAATATATATATCGCCTCGACACATTAAGTACACGCAACGTGCCGCGTCGGACGTCGGGTATACAGATACTTAAAGTAATTAAAACGGTTTGCATATTAAAAAAGCTGATTTTGTACGGTTTTCTTCTGCCAGCTAAGCTCAGTTGTTGTGTGGTTTCCCTAATATATAAGTTGTGCTGTATCCGAATGGGGAGAGTGAGAAAAAAAGAGAAAGAGAGAGAGCAGTCAGTCGGTGGTCTGTAAATGTTTTAAACAAACTCAAAGATCGTGCACACCTTATAATCCCCCCGCCACCATCCCATGCATACATATTTATGTACATATGTGCATACATATGTACAAATGTACTAAGAAAGACATATCGTACGACGACTTGAAGAGGGCGGCATTCGTTTGTGTCTTTATCTTTGCCTCCTCCCAATGCACACATGTACACCCACCCATCTGTTGATTTGCGACCTTGCAACGAAATAATTACTATTTAAAATGTTGTGATAGTACCAATGCGATTCCCATTTGATAATAGTAGCTCTCTCTACCGCTGACTAGACATCTGCCTACCGAGTATGTACACCATGCACGAGATGTGGGTGAAATAGTGCTGAGCAAGTCGCTTAGAATGTAAGATGATTCATCTTGAGTGTGTGTGTGTGGTAGGGCACATCTCCCTCCCCACTCTCCCGTTCTTACTATTGCGAAATAGAACACATGAAACACATTCTTGCCTTGATAATGGGATTACTCATGCAAATTGTAGCTAAGTATTTCCAGCCATTACAGGTAAATGCCAAGGTATGCCCACGAAAACCACCTGTATGGAGAGGTACACGTGTCCAGTGCACATTTCTATGAAACTTTCACTTTGGCCATTTGCTTGCATTCCCCTGTAAGTGTCTGAGAGGTGTTTACGTGTCGCCAATACGCATGAGCCGTAAATAAGGCTCCCCCTATACATGGCTTGGGAATATTTGCTTGCAAAGCTTTGCAGTTGGTCCTAATGAGGGGAATCACATGTGAAACCCAAACCCAAACCCAAACGCAAGCATCAATGACAGAAACTTTACAACAAGCGGGGAAATCACATGCGTCACTTCCAAAGCAAAGAGCAAAAGATTTGGAGTACGAGAAGAATGTTAATTATGATTAAACTATGACTAATCATGTGGTTCATTCTGTGAGTGACGTCAGCTCTTGATATACAACAATATTTAAATGTGATTTTATGAGGGCTGCTCTCTCCACATTGTTCGCTTAACAAACACAATTAATTGTGGATTTAATTGGTTAACCACGATATCACTCTGTTAAGTTAAACCGGGAAGTTCATTCGCCAATCGGTGACCCTTGCTGACCCAAAAAAGCTGCTGATTATTTATATTATGTATATTGCACATAAACAAAACAAATTGAGAGTGTTTTTGCGGAGTAAACAAAACTGAAAGTGAATTTAATTTAGCAGATTCATCGATCGTATCGCTTTCAGAAGTATAATTAATAGAGTAATAGTTATGCTGCTTTTGGCATTAGACAAATTGTAAATTTTTTTTTAAATTATTATTTGCGACTCTTAATCGCGACTTCAAATGCCCCTAATCAATGTTTAGTTGTGGTTTACAATTAAGTAATTTCGCTGCCTTTATCAAATACATACAATACAATACAAAAAAC